GGACGGGGGAGGGGAAGGGGAGGAAAGGAAACTTTTTATGATATCACTGGGAGTGGGGAAGATGCTGCTAAGGGCCTTGAGCTTGCTCAGATTTTTCTCTGTTTGTACCCCTCATGAGGCATTTGCTTTTTCCTATTTTTTAAAGTCAAGGGGATTCATGTCACACCTCCGTCTGTTAACTAGTAAATACATTGAAGGCAGGAGCTATAACTATGCATCTTTAAAGCCCCAAAGAACCTAGCACAGTGCTTTGCACATAAAAGTTATTTAAGAAAGGTTTGCTCATTTAAGTGGAATTTAAAATATTTTTTCTAAAGCCACATAGACTGAATAGGAATTGATCATTCTTCATCATTAAAGTGGTAAAGTGCTTTTGTAATCATTATCTTTTATTTTAAATTTTTTTTTTTTTTAGATCCTGAGGTCACATCAAACTTGGTATTTTTGAAACAACCTTCTTCCCTGGTCAGAGTCATTGGTCAGAGTGCAGTATTGCCATGTGTTGCTTCGGGACTTCCTCTTCCAACCATTAGATGGACAAAAAATGAGGAGGCACTTGACACAGAAAGGTAATACCTGCCTAAAAGCCTTTTTCAGCCTTAGCTTGAGACTTGGTCTTCTTATCTTATGTGGGACTATTGATTAATAAGAAAATGATTACTTTTTTAAAAATTTAAACACATTGTAATGCTCATTTATCTCCTTAACATATGTTTATATGCTGTATATGATTATGATGTTTAAAGAAAATAATGCTTTCAAAATATTAAGGGATAATTCTATTTGTTCTTTCTGAGCTACAGTATCCTTAGCGTAAGGCCTCGGGACCTCCTTCTCTAAATTATTACTAGAGTCCCCAGTCCTGACTAGATGAGACTTCTCACTCACTCTCATATGCATTTTGTTGATAGCAGTTTTTTCCTTAACACAAACAGTAAAAGAAAATGTATTTCTCATCCTTTTGTTTTTGCCTTTTAAAATAATACCAGCCTTCTTCTATGATCACAAATGCTTTATCCTCCACAAAAGGCTTTTCTGTTAACATCAACCACCGTGTTATCTATCTCATCCCCCTCATTACTTCCTATGGTCTGGATACTTTTCTCAGTTGTATTCAGATAAAAGAACTGAGGTGGTTGTAGTTAGGTATGTTTTCTTTCCAAAACAAGTTATCTCATGCATTGTAGGATGTTGAGTAACATCTCTGACCTCTACTCACTTGATGCCAATAGCACTCTCAAGTTGTGACAACCAGAATTGTTCCTAGATATTGCCAGATGTCTCCTGGGGGACAAAATTGTCCCCAGTTGTGGACCACTGTTCTGGAGCAGTGCTGTCCAATAGAAAATGATGCAAGCCACATATATAACTTAAAATTTTCTGGTAGCTGCCCTAGAAGAGTAAGAAGTACACGTGCACTACTAAATACAATAATTTATGCAGTGTACCAGTTAAAGTGCAGTGTAGTTCTACCAAAACAATAAAATTTGTATTCAGTGCTGCTTCTGCATTTACATGGAAATTAAATAAAAATTTATAAATTCAGTTCTTCAGTCATTCTAGCCATATTTTCAAGTATCAGTAGCCACATGTGGCTAGTGGCTATTGATTTGGATAGAGCAGGTCTAGAGCTTGTCAATTTAGTAATCCAAAGTAAGCAGACATTCTTAATTTGTGTAGTTCAGTAAGCAAGACATGGAAAGGGAGATCTGCCTAGTCAGCTTGGTAATCAGCCTTCAGCAATCAGTGGGGATGATAGAATACAGTCATATTATTTCTCATTTGTACAATTAGCAAAGCTGGTGGTGTCATCTCCAATATCATCTGATTTCTTTCTCAGTGGCCATCCAGTCACAGCTGCTTCTGCCTATATTTTATATCTTTTCTTCTCTTTACTTAGCTAAATATTATACAAAGAATTTGTAAGACTTCCAGGGAATTTTTTAAACTTATGCTAACAAGCAGAGGAAACATTAAAATATGGGGTAAAAATTTCAAGCTCTTAGAGAAGAAATTTTTATTGTCTACATGTTAAAATAAAACATCAGGAGTAGGAAAGCTGAAATAGGTTATTTTTAAAACTTTAATATTATATCATAGGACATTCTGAAATATGTAAAATATAGGAATTTGTTTTCTTATATAAGAAATAAAAGAGGATTCATATGATTTTCATTTGTTTATTTAATAAATATTCAACAATTATTTATTGAATGCTGATTATGTTTGGCACTGTTCTGTGTACTGGGAATACAGTAGTAAACCACACTCAGAGTTTTTGCTCTTAAGGAGCTCATGTTCTAGTGGGGAAGAGTCAGACAATAATCATATAAGCATAATTTTCAGTTTATGGTAAGTGCTGTGAAGAAAATTATGACAAAGTGTGACCTGGACACCAAGAGAGGTACAGGTGGGATTGCTGTTTTATACAGTGTTAGAGAATTGTTCTCTTAGTAGAATGACTGTCAGACTGGGGCCTAGGTGGGTCAGGGGTATAGAAATCATATCTTCCTTTCATATTCTTTCAAATTGTTACATTTTATTTTAATTAAAGATATTTCTGAGGGGAAGTTTTTAAAATTAAATTAAATGTGGACATATCATGGCTAATAATATTCCTCTGAGATTTAAAGATAAATCAGGAAACTTTTAAGATTGAGTAGACTGTGTTCTACTTTGGTTTCTCTGGGCTTCTTCATACTTGGGTTATGTGGTAGAAAAGTCTGAGAAAGCATTGCTTTGATATATCACTTTCTCAGGAAGTTTCAGAAGAATGTAAGAGTAGAACACCTAGTGTTGATGATGTTCACATTGGTGTTTCCAGATCCTAGCACAGTGCTTGGCATATAACAGGGTAGGGAGAGTGGTGACGAATATATTTTGGTTGAATGCTTGAGTGTAATATAGGAAAATATAAGTAGGTGGATGGAATACAAAAGTGTGTAAAGTTACATATAAGTAATTTTTCAAAATGTCTTTGAGCTAGAGTCTTATTAGAGATGTAGATGGACCTTAGCTAATAAATTATTTAGACCCCCAAATTAGAAAGAAATTTAGAAATTGAAAGAAAAAAGTGGCTAGAAATCCAGATGGTAGTGGACTGGCTCTAGTAAAAAATCTTAAATTTTTAGACAACTTTCTCTATTACTAAATTTAAGACATCTTTGAAAATGAATATTTTAAAACATTACCATTGCTTTTATAAATATCTTAAGAATTGATATTTACTTAATCTTTTGATTAAATTTGTTCAGATTCAAACCAAATATAGCTATTGAAGGGGTGGTGGTGGAAATGTGTCCCATTCATTGAGTAGTTTTATTTTAAAGGGGTAGAATCCAGAAAATACAAATGCTAAAGTGCAAGGTGACCGACAGCAAAATGTGATTTAATATTCCAATAATGTTATATTTTAGTGGAATGATAGATCACAACCGAGCCACAAAGGAACAGGTTATAGTTATAAAAATGCTTAATGTTATTAAAACAACTTGTTTAAAAAACAAGGTGAGGACTTCCTTTCTAGGAAGATGGAGTAGATGTATTTTTCCCTATTTGTCCAGTTAAGTACAACTAAAACCATGGAAGTTATATATACAACAAACATAATAAGACTCTGAAAGGTGGAGAGAGGAAGATTGACTGGCTAGGGACTTTGGCACCCAAGGAACAACTTGATGATGAGTTCCCTGAAGTTTTGTTTTGTTTCCCTCCCCCCCTCATATATGCCAACTTCCGCTGAAGAAGCTGGCAACCTGGAAACACCAACAGGCATATACAGAAAAAGCTCTAACAGTGTACTCTCTTTAGCCAGAGGATGAGGAAAGGGGCAGCCTAGCAAGACCAAAACTATCAGACTATAATCTCTCCTCCAGCCCAACACCATAGAAGAAACTGGACCTACCCTCACCCATGCCAGCAAGGGCCAGGTGGAAAACCTTGATTTCCACCCTTGCCAGGTTGTAATGAGGCCCTTCACCTTCCTTACTGTATGGTCTCAGATGCTAAGTAGGGAGCCAAGACTTTCATTCCAACCAGGGAATATCAGTGGAGACCATATGGGAAAGCTGGGACTTTTATCCCATCCACAGTAAGAGACACTTCTTCCCTTTCCCTCTTCGGTAGTATCAAAGGAGGACTAGTGGAGAGTCAGAATTTTCACTACCATGTGGAATTGAGTGTGTGTGCCCCTCCCCCATGGTGTCTTTGGGTTCCATGTGAGGAATAGTAAGGAGGCACTTTTGCTGCACCTAGCAAGGGGATAGTATCAGTGGAAGCCTGATAGGGAGCCAGGACTCCCAACCCTGCTAAGGAGTAATGAGGAGGCCCCCAATTCCTCTCAGGAATTAATAGAGTGGGGAACCTGGGCTTCTGCCTCCACCTGACAGTGATGAGGTGGCATTTCTCCCTTCCTCTGCTACAGTGGTATCAGAAGCAGCCAGCTAAAATCAAAGGCTTAATGAGGAGAAGTAGTAAGGGAGACAATAAGATGGTGGCATAGGTAACCAGGTATCTGTTGCCTCCCACAAACACATCAGAATTACAACTAAAATATAGAACAACCATCACTCCAAACCTCCTGAAATCTAGCTGAATGGAAGTCCTACAACTAGGAATTAAAGACAAAGCATCAAGACGGGTAGGAGGGGTAGAGACACGGAGTGGATCGGGACTGAATGGGTGTGAATAGGACTGAATCGGGGCTGAATCGTGGAGATGCGGCCATGGTCCCACACCCAGTTGCTGTGGTTTAAAACTAGGAGGGATCTCTGTCGGTGGAGGTTTCCCAGAGGAGCGAGGGGTCCTGGTCCCACATGAGGCCCCCCAGCCCAGGTTTCCAGTGCCGGGAAGAGAAGTCTCTAGAACTTCGGGCTGGAAAAACCAGTGGGGACTTTTGCTGAGTGACGTGGAGGCTGCAGGGGTCCCAGGCAGTTCCTCTTAAAGGGCTGGCACACAGATTTTCTCAGATGCACTCCCACTGAGCTCCAGTCTGGGCAGCAGCTTGAAAGGAACCTGGGACATTCAGGGAGGAACTAACTTGCTTGGAATTAGCCTGAGAGCTGGAGGGGCAGCTTTCTCACAGAGGAGCTGGCAGAGGCCATTGCCCCTTTGATGAGCCTTTCCCCTATAGAGCTGGCAGGTAGGCGCCATATTTGAATCTCTAGCAACGTAACTCACACCTTTGGCCCTGCCCTGGTGATTTCCAGAGACCCCGCCCCTCCCTACTTGCAAACTCATCCAAGCTGTTTCCAGTGGCTTTTCTATGCAAGTAGCCTCTCTAGCCTCACACTTAGGACTTCCCTAAACTCTCTCAGACAAACAGCAGCTGGCCTTAGCATGCCCCATATCTCTCAATATGTGGCTCCAGGCGTGGCACTAGTGGTAGCCTGCATTGGTTCATAGCTTAGCCTCTCTTGGACACCTCCAAGCCCAGCACAAGTAGCAGCCATCTATGGATTGCTGTGTAGCTCATACTGGGTGGCCCTGGGCAGGGCACAGGCAGAGACTGACTTTGCATCTCCCAGGAGGCCCCAGAGACAGTGCACCCAGTGGTCAGCTTCAACCATGC